ACGAGTTCGAATCCGATATCCTACATAAACATACGTATATAAAACGCGTTGTCGCCCCCAAAATTCATTAGCGCAAATTTGGACCACAAGTTATGCATTTTGACAGCACAGAATTAAAAAAGTAGCCTATAATAAGACCGTCTGTATAAGCTATCCTTCATTAAAAGTTCCGTCGAAATCGGCCCAGCCGTTGCTGCGGAAAGACAGACAGACAAACATTTTTAAACAGTTAACATTTTTAATTTCGTCATCAGCAACGTAAATACATCATCTCCCGAAATCTGGAATTTTTCTTTTGATATTACAGACACTCCAATTTTATTCTACGTATAGATATAGGTATAAATACGATTATTTAATCTTTGGAAAAATAATTGCTTCCAACCAATCCCTAAACAACGTAAACGATGCAATTTATTGACCAATGAGCATTGTAAAAGCATATCACAAGGTAAATTAGCATTGAATGTAACACGGCAGTCTGCATCAATTGAGACTGGTGACACACTCATCAAGTGTTATAAAGTAAACTCACGTTAATCAGTACGTCCATGAACGGATATTATCATGTAATTAGATAAAAAACGCACGATGACCGGGATATTTCCACTAACTGACTGCTCCAGATTGTAATAAGGACAAGTATTTGGGAGAAGACATAAATTCTATTTACACATTTTCGTTGCGTACAAAATGATATATTGCTTACAACATCTAAATAAATTTAAAATAGCTTTCACCCGTGACACCGTCCACTTAGTATTAAAAAAATCAAGTAGCCTATATATTTTTCATCGAAATCCGTTCAGCCGTTTAGGCTACAAACTCTAAGAAACATCCATACATCTAAACTTTCGTATTTATAATAGTAGAATCTCTTAATTCAAGATTTTAAATTTAGTAGAGATTTAAAAAATCTACGCATTAAAACTGGTACCAAAAACAAAATTAATATGAAAAAAAAAATCATTATCAACTTGCCCTTGTCCCTATTGAGGGTCGGCACAGTATGTGCTGCTCTTCTCCACATTTCTATCAGCTGTTATTATATAAAAAAATAACGCAACATAGATTATCATCACTTGCATAGTGGGATGGCAAGAATCGTACTTTATTCGACTTAGAGTGAAGGTGAATGTCCGGACAATGAGTCATAGCTCACAGAAGCAATAATAATAAAATGTTAGAAAGCATTGAAAATCGACGGTTCTTACGAATAAATTGTTTTCATCAAAAAATAAAATCGTTTCAATATTCAGCCGTCAGTCCCTTAACTTGAACCTTCTCTAACATTTAATATAATGTATTGTACATTCCTAGTTTCTGGCATTCTTATAATTTTAAATAATGTGTGATCATTTCGAGCGCGAAGTTACTGCGAAAACAATCAAGACGTCACATGCAGAGCCGACACTTTGTAATCGCTTTCCTCTCAACGCCCCTCGTACAGGCTTCCTGTGACGTCAGCCGACAAACTGATGACTACGACGACGAATTCTTGTCTATACAAAATTATTTGTATGCAAGGACTGGCTTCTTATTAAAGAAAACATTCATATTTATAATAAGTGAAAAATTTTAAATAATGGATGACCCGAAATCAAAGCAAAAACGATTGGTTCTTAAAATCTGTTTTCCAAAATAACCCTAAAGGTTGTATTTTCCGGATTATTCAATAAACATATACTGGGTACATTAAACACAAGTAATGGCTAGCTAGTAACAAACAGCTGACAGTCTAGACACTCGGCGTAAGTTACGTAACTTTGGCTTCGAATCCTAATAAATACTAATTATAATTAAGTTGCCGCTTATTGCCCGACTGACGGGTAATTTTAGCAGGCGGATAAGTATATATATAGAAGTTTGCGGGTTTACATCTGAAAAACAACCTAAACATACAAAAGCCTAATTCGAATGGAAAGTTACGATGTTAGTCGTCACTATTTGAACCAAAGTCAATAAACTCATCTCAAGTCAAGTTTATTGTCTTCCATTTCCAAGTAAAAAGAAACAAGTGCTTAATAGATTAGTTTATTAAACAAATATTGTTACCGACAAAGAAATTAAGGTTACATGATGGTTACAAAGACATTGTATCGGTTATTTTCATACAAAAAAACTGAGATAAAAAATTGTTATTGTACAGGTTTTCGACAGTGAAAATGGCAAGGTGTATACAAATATGTATTTGAAGAACGCTAACACCTATAATATATGTCTTCTATAATTAGACAGGCATTTGGCTTCTATCCACGCGAAATATTCTATCAAAACAAAGCAATGTTTAGGCGCTCGGTCTAGAATATTTACATACTAAAAATAGCTGTATTATTAATGCGATTGTTTTTCCAGACTTTAAGTACCATCATCACGGAACCGATATTTTCACCAAAAAAAATATTTATTTAATATCTATCTTCATATTGCTGCCTTGTATAATACAGTGACATCTTTCTATTGTTAATAACCAAATAGCGCATTTAACGGTCCTTTAGCGTCACGACAACGGTTTCAGTCAAACGAATCGGTCCCGCATTCTCTGACTTACTAGGTCACAAAGTTAATGTCTTTGTTTGTGTAAAACTAGATAAGTAGACGAAATAATACACAAAAACAAATGTATTTTGAAAAATATTCTGTTTAAAGTTACCAAGATGGTAACTTTTCTTTTCATGGGAATATATAAATTTAACTGCTTGTACTGATTTATATTTCCATAAAAATTTTGATAATTCAATTATTGTTTTTTCTAATATGTACCTAATATATCTACCTGATGTTCCTATGTAAATAAAATAGCTTTTAGTTTTTACGTGTTTACGCATGTAAATGTCAATGATAATTAATAAGCATAGATATTTAAAAAGAAACAATTTCGTTTATTGCATGTCTTTTTAAAGTAATGAATAATGCACAAAACATTACTCAATAAATGAGATAAATAAAATGGTCGGAAGAAATAGGACAATATGATTACACAATGTTTTGTCTTTTTATATCCATTTAACTTTACTCGTTGCAAACCGAAGACACGCTTTTTAAATAACATATAACATTTTTAAAAACCATTTCAATCTTAAGTAAAGATTTGTTGTATTAAATACTAGCTGTTCTCGTGCGGCTTCATCCGTATGAGATTATAAAAATTTTATTGTTTACATTTATCAAATTCTCAATTACAAATATGAAAATACCAATTACCTTACTATGACAATCTAGCGTCCTTGATGTTGGCAGCAACTTATGGTCCCACATTAGGGTTTTTATCCAATTTATTTAACCCCTGAGTTTAATAGCGTGAGAATAATATTTCCAAAAATATGCTGTAATTGTTGACATCTTAGACAACAAAGAAGTGTGTGTTTACGCTTTATTATTATTATTTATAGATAGATGTAATACAGTATAGAAATACTTCTAATAACGCTATATGATATCTATACAGATATCATATAATCTTTTGGAAACAGCTGCAAAATTATGAATTAGGGTGATATTCTGTAAAAGACTAGACATGAGACCTAGCTCCAAAAATAATGAAAGAAATTCCAAACACCATGTATCAGTCAAAACTTTCTTCCAAATCCGTGCTACGACATAGGACTGTTAATTTCCGTACCGTACGCACCTTTGCTTCCTGCATACACTAGCAGACCTAACATATCATGTTTTACATAACAAATAAACACGGCAACAACAACACATGATTATTTATACAAATATTTATTACAAATCATAAATGTTTGTATAAATAAGACACGGCGACACAACACGACACACTACTGATGACCAGTTTATTTTAAGAATCACTATTTATGATTTTATACCGTCCAGATATGCGACAAAAAAGTATAATGTCACCTTTTTCAGTGTTCGTACTCGTAAAGAGAGATGTGAACCAGAAGTTACAAATATGTTCTAAGGGTGTTTATTGTAAAGGTTTACACTATTGCATGTTCAAAGTACTGTACACAAGTAAATTAAATATAATACAGACAAAAAAATGCAGAACATCTTTCTTATCTCATCTTAAACAGACCACTTACGAAATTTCACAAATAACATAACTTATTTATTTCTTTTTGACTACAGAATTTGTTACTTTAAAAACTTCAGTCTTTTTTCCTTTCTATCCTTTTAGTCCTAAGAGGCCTAATTTTGGTCGCTTTCCCTTTCTATCCCTTTCTTAAGAGGAAAGGATGGGAAGGAAAAGTGGATTTGACGGTGGAGCAGACGCACAGGAAGAGAAAATTTCCTCTTAATGTACGTCTCCTTCTCCGTCAATTAAGGGTAGGCAACGCATGTGCAATTGCGAGTGTTTATGGGCAGCGGTCGCTTTCCATTTCGATGGATTCAGTTGGCCGCTTGCTTGTTTGCCACCTTACATTATAAAAAAAAACTTGCTTCACGATCATATTACAGTACCAGCAATTTGAATTAATTTGTCTAAAGTACTGATAATGTAACGATTCTAATTTGGAGCGAAGTTAAGGTATTGCACATATGCGTGCTTATGTATTGAATGTGAGCATGTAACGCAGTTTTCCGCGATAAACCACGAACACGGTACTAAAACATCATCTTTATATTTATACTAGCTGTTTCTCGAGACTTTGTCCGCGTGAAATTAAAAAAAAACCTATGTTAATCACAGATAAATTACCTTTCTAACGGTGAAAGATTTTTTGAAATCTGCCTAGTAGTTATTAAGTTATTTTAATACATACAAAAATACAAATGTTTCCACTTTATAATATTAGTATAGAAGTATAGATAACATGTTTTAATATGTTGTCGATCATTCGTCTACTAAATTCATGATTTCGTTTCACGAACAAATACTCTCGTCCATTCATATTAATTATCATAAACCAGTCACTAGCCAAGAAATCTAAATTCAAAGACATTTTAGAACACGCTATAAGTTATACAACCGACCTTGTCCGAGATTCGTTCACACGCTAGACAAAGGTGAGTAAAATAAAAAAAAAACTTACCGAAAAACATAAATCTTCTTCGTGATCTGTAAAATAGTCGAATAAAGCGACAGCATATGGTATCGTGTCTTCTATATCTTCTAGAACGTTCTGGGATAAGAAGTCTTGGACGTCTTCTGGCCAGGTGGGGTCGTCGTCGACTACTGGCGGTGGAGGAGGAGGTATCGTCGGCATAGGAGGTGAAGGTTCCCTCTCCGGTGAACTGTCGTCATCCCAACTGAATGACTTCGAGTCCTGGTGTAAAAAAATTAAATTATCTTTTAGGTAAACGAATATTTTGTGGGCAAATGGTAAAAAAAACATCCACTTGATATCAAAACGGCATATTAGTAAGCATTGAACATAGAAGATAGATATAAAACAATAACGAAAAAATCGTTAAAATTTAAAGCCACAGGGAAGAATGGGCTAATGGGAGAATTTATTTTTGTACTAAGGATCCACTCTACACCAGTTTTAAGGTATGAATACGAACTTTTTTGTTTGCCATAAATAAAAAAAAATATATATTAAAATTTAAATAACCACTACATGAATCACTGTCTATTGCAGAAAACAATATGAAAACCCATTCAGTACACTATAAATAATTTAAGATGAATAGATACATGTTTGTAAAATAGCAAAAAAAATATATTAAAAAGCACACAACCATTTCTATGAACAATCAACTTTATGATGTATTAAAAATTAAACATATGGACATATCGTTTTTATCAATATTTTATATTATTTCATGGCAATAATCAGCTGTTTAGTGTTAAGCAATATAACAGAAATTTTAAAAGGTCATGTCTTGTAAATCAAAACAAATTGTCCCTAACACACTGCATGTTCAACTGTTTGTTTACATAAAAAAATTACAAAGTTCATAAGCTAGCAAGTTAGTTAAATAGACAAAATAATAAATGAGAATGTAACTCATTTATCTTACTTACATAATCTCCAAATCCACTGCAAATTTTCTGTATAGGGACCGTTGTGTTCACATTCATAAAAGATGCTGCCAAATTATTGCCTAATGTACTTTTCAATATCGCAGAGCTATCAGGTGGTTTGGGCCTGGCTGGTTTTGCTCTTATTATCGTTGGCCCTTTGAACACTGAAGTTTGAATATTACTTGTAGTATCATAAATATCTCTACTTAACACTGGCTTCTTCATAATAGGCGGCTTTGATAAAGGCTGCGGTGAGAATGGATCTGCTATGAACAAATCATCTAAAGTATCGTCTTTATGTATCTGTTTTCTATTGTTTAAGAATAAATCGAAATCGTCTTCAAATCCACTCTCCGGTTGGGATACATTGCCACCGTTGATGTGATTGTGATGATTTGTGGAGGTAGTAGCATCAGAACCAAAGCTATCTACACTCAGACCGTCACTACTAGACCTAGTGGTGAACGTTGGTGAGCTCGGTGGAGATGAGAAATCGATCAATGCTCCAGTTTGCACATTCCTTGTTTCACATTTAGGAAACATTTTACTAGTGTCTACTGCACTTCCGTAATCTGTGTTCACAATCTGTTGCTTCACTGTTGTGTTTTGTGTCACCGTTTTGCTTTTACGTGATAGAAGTGATGTAAGAACGGTCGGTTTCCGGATGAAATGTGAAGGTTTAGCTGGCACATCCGGCTGTCTGGAGAGTTTTGGTGGTGGTGGGCGAGGTGGGGGCATCTTTTTCTGTGCAAACTGTGGTGTAGGCTCAAAGACATCAGCTCCGAATGGGTCATCATTCCAATTGGTGACTGGTGAGTAGCGATTCACACTATTCAGCGGTGGAACTGAAGGTGCTGGACGTAAAGGACCCTTCATACCTGTTACAAAATTAATAACCCATTTAACTTGGACATTTTTTTATTCTTTTAAGTAGATCACTGTTTAATTAAAAATTAAATTAAATGATATTGCGCTCAGGATTACCTTAATCTTTTAAATTTAAACAGAATAATTAAAAAGTATTGATTATATGCAAAACAATTTTTTGTAGTAAAATTATTAAAAAAAAATTAAATCTTCACACTGAATAAAAAAGATCAAAAAACTGAGAACAATAAAGCAGACTGTCAGCACAGCTGAGTTATTCAACACTAAACTGTCACACGTAATGTTAAACAAACACAGCTCAGGCCGAGATAAAGCGCTGATAACGTCGAAAACCACCCACTGACGTACAGCATTGCGTTTGTTAGTATCAATGTATCACTAGTGCTTGCAGGTACCTGGCACCAAAGAGAACGGCCTTGATAACATACGCCGTATAAATGCACAAAGGAATTTAATCCTTTATAACATTTCCAAAGTTATAGCAATTAATTATATATAAAATTAATGCACAACAAATGTGGCGTAGAAGCCTAAAATACATACCGTGCTTAAATAAGTCCATTTTAAAATTATTTACGTTTCTAGCTTGACGGTTACTTGTTCAACGTTCATTTATACAGTCTACACGGTGAGAATAATAATAAAAAAGATACTGTTACTTTTAGTAGTTACTATTACTCCTAAAACAAGAAAGGAATGAATAGATACAAAACTAACATCCGTGTAAACAGTTTAAAATGCGTAGGCAATGAGCCAAGCGCCAACCAGCCGTTTTCTTAATTTCTTATAAGATGACTCACTGTCAACTGTCAGTGTCAAGCAAGTGTCAAGTGTCATTTTAAAAACAAAAGCAAAATATTTAAGTCAAGAGCATGGTGAACTATATGACTTTCATTTCTTGCAATTTGTGAACAAGCATTTGGAGAAGAAATTATTACGCAAAGAAGAAACATGCTTAGAATTTAAACCATACTCTAAATATGTTAAACAATATTTTAAATACACTGAAGAAAAATATTTTTTGTGACTGCTTAATGTCAAATGCTATTTGTTGTCAAGTTGTCATTATCAGGTGTCAAACTCAAATTACAAAAACATTAAAAAAAGTCGTCGATGTTAATAAAACTTATTTTACTTTTCAATTATTTTCTATTTTTATAGTACCTATTGGTGAAATAATATTGCTTTTTTATATTGATTATTGTGCTGTTAACTAGCAAATTTTCGTTTACGCTGACAGAATCTTGGGAATCATAATTTATAGCGTTCTGAATAAGATAACAAATTATCAAGATGCACGGGATTACGTTGTTAGAATTACCACTTGACATTTTAGCAAAAATATTCAGTATTTTAAATGAAAGTGACCTTTCTAATTTGATTCGTACATGTAAGACATTAAAGAACCTTATTCTACACGATAACACAATTTGGAGAGGCATAGCTAGGAACAAATTAATAATACGAGATTGTTTAGCCAGGTATCTTTTCCTTTTATTTGTGTCCTTTTTCTTATTCATTGACTTCGTTTTATACAAAAACAAAACATTTTTAGTGTCCCTAATTCTCGAAGCTGGTACAACAGATGTAGAATTTCTCATAACTGGTGTAAAGGAATATTTAAAAAGCAGGTAAATGATTTAATACTATCTATTTATTTTATAACTTACATTCTACTAATATGTTATACAACCGCTGGTCTGTATGAATGGATAGGTCACTGCTTGGAAATTACAGCTTTTGCCTTCTTCTGACTAAACATGTCTGTTGATGTTGAATGACAATTCTATTGCTGTTATTTGCTTGAATCCTTATAGCCAAGCCTTCTTATAGTCTGCAAGTCAGTGCCAAAACTTCAAAAGTCAGTGTATACAATAGACACTTGAAACAAATTCACTCTGGATTTACATTTATTTTGTTCTACATTTGAATAGCTTCAAATATCTTTACCTTCAACATTCTGTAAACATAATGATCAAGCTTTTCTGATTTAGCATTAACTCTCAACTCACACGATGGGATAAGCCCAAGGTGATGATATATTAAACAATTTAAATATCCAAATAGTACGAAATTCTTTTATTTACAACTTTATTTCATCAAAAAACTTCTTTTCTAGAGAGCACTTCACTATGATACACTTTATATACCCTGGCTTGAGTTACATAAGTCACAAATGCTGCTATTGGCACTTGGTACAGATATGTTCTGCTTTCCTACAGACAGGAAAGGTTCCCCAAACTCTAGGAGTCTCTGGTCTATTTGTGTGCCAATTGTGAGGAGATATGATATAAGAACTAATGATATATCAAGATTTGTCATCAAAGATAATGCACTACTTTGTGGAAACAGGTACATTGTCATAAAAAAACATTATTAAGAATGTATATTATGGATCCTTTTTGCTTAAAATATTTTTTAATGTCTGTATTCTTTGTTTTTGATTAAAAAAAACTATTGGCTTTTATGACAAATATGCTAAATACGCACTTTATGTACCCTAGATTTTATACACCAAATAGAATAAATATGGTCCAAGTTACAGCTTTAAGTTATAAGAATTTTCAGTTATTCATCAATATTTTTAGAAATTAAGGGAAAAGGAAAAGCTTTGGTTCTTGCTGCCAGCACTGAAAATAAGTTAATTTAAAAATTATACTTTTCAGAGATGGATCTGCGGCAGTCTTTCTATTGAACAATCCAAGAAAAAAGCCCTCTTTACTCTGTCACATTGATGATTGTCATCAGAATGGTGAAGTGGAGGTCACGGCTGTTGAAGGCATTAAGTCTGAAGACAAATTATGTTTGCTAACAGGGTCATGTAAAAGTTCAGAGCTTTCTTTATGGTCTTGGAATTGTGCAGATGATAATTATGACCATTTGTATGACACAATGCAAAATTCTGACTGTAGTAAGTTCAAATGTATTTACTTAGGTTTTTAATTATACAATAATTATTAAATATTAAATGCCTAATATAAAATGCAACAAAGATATGACTTAAATGTTAGTTCTTAGGTTAAATATTGATGGACATTTAAATATTTTTTAAGTTTTATTTTGGTTTTTACAGAACAGACAATACAAATTCCTTGTGAAGAAGTTGGTATAAGAAGCTTGTCTATGAATAAAACAAACAGCAAACTCGCTATTGGCTTAGGTGGCAACACTAGACCACTTTTAATGGATTGTCAGATGTAAGTTTTTGATCTTATAAACAAAGACATATTTTATACCATATATGGTAAATGTTTAATGATGTGGACTTTGTTTTAATTGTTTTTTTTTTTTTTGGAGAAATCAATTTTAATTTTTAAAATGTTTTTATATTTTTATATATGATACAAGAGATTCCTTTTGATTAACCTTAGCAATTTCATTCTAGGTGTGCCTTCCAGTTGCCTATTGACCCAAGTTTAAACATGAAAAGAGATGCAGTCAAAGATATTACATGGCACAATGAGAACACCATAGCATATGTGACACATTCAGGAAGAATGCAACTCCTGGATATTCGAACTAATCATGTGGTTAGATTTTTATTATTTATCTTTAAAAATGTATTATGTCTACAATGCAAAAAGCTAATTAAATAGAAGAATCTTAATGTTGCCATACATTTTTTTATGTGCCACCATTTTACGATAGCTTATCTATATTAGTTATGAAAACATTTTTGAACGATGTAAATCCATGTGCGATATATTTATTTTATAGATTTACAGAAACATGGATCCATTTCATTCATCATTGTATTGCCTCAAGTCTGATGGTAATAACGCATTAATAGCAGGCGCTTCGGAATTTTCACGCTGTGTATTGTTTGATGATCGTCAACCTGGGAGACATATACAGGTTATACTCATATTAAATCTATACTTTAAAAAGAAACGTTACAACTGAACAGTTAAATTTCAATTTTTCTTTTTTTCAGATGTACTTTACACAAAAGAATGCCTCGCCGGTTTATAGTTTGGTCTTCAATTCAACGAAACTTATCGCCGCGGCTGATCGCAGCGTTGGTCTTGTTGATTTTGATGTAAACTCTTCAGTCACAAGAAGATACGACTACTCTGATGTATTTGAATTTGTTAAGAGATAAATTTAATTCAAAAAATATAATTTCACTATTTATAAATAGGTGTTACTGGATAATATATTTTGGTTAACTTATAATGTCTTTTATTTATATTGATTGATATGACAGAAAAAATTTTAAACTCGATTTCCGTTATCAGCAACGCAAATACATCTTCCTGAAATCTGGAGTTTTCTATTGATATTGCAAATAGACACTCCAATTTTATTACACGCATATATAGAAGATAGATGGATTTTACATTTATTTTTAAAATCAGTAATTTTTGTATTACTTTGCATATTCCAATATTTTTTTGGTCTGTGAAGAAGGAACTAGAAACACTGTACAGAAGTGTCACTGTCATGTCAAACAAAATGAAAAATAACGATGAAATAAAATAGTTTAAAGATAAACATCCACCTTCAATAGCCCAAGCCTTAATAAACATGTTTAAAAATAGACTATTCACAGTATTAAGAGCAATTAGAAAAATTCCATCCAATGTTTCAAGTTCTCAAATTCGTAAATACACACCTGCCACTTTAAGGTTGCTTGGGGCTACAGTATTTTGCGCGGAAAACCAAGATGGGTACATTTCTGGTATATATGATGGGAACTTGGAACACGAATTTCTGATACGGCAAGCAACAACTGTAAACGTTAACGCGGCGACGCAGCTACTTACAGTTACTCTTGTTGCCATACAAGATACGAGTGAGAGGTGACAATCTTTTTCGGTAATAAAATTTAAATGGGCGATAAAGTCTATTCTCTTCATTTTCTCATCCTACAAAAGATGGGATGGGGAAAATTCTAAAACTTTATTTCATAAAACACAGAATACTACATGCTTCATGCCTGTACATTCCTTCAACAGATATCTTATTTATTGTAGCCTTTTATTTCAACAAGAACAAAATTACAAAACTAGGGCCACTAAGGTGTGAACATATATATTTTTTAACCTATAATAATTTTGTTTAAGGTTGAGGGATGCTCTATCAAAAGAGATATGCCTAGTACAACAAGCAATGGAGTGGGGGGAAGTCACTCCCCCAGAGCACTGGGACCAGCTGGTAGCGGTTCGCGGTACTCTCTGTGACTTGAGACACAATCTAAGAACACTCTATAGTAAGCCTGAAATACAAAATAAGTATTTACTAGTTGTGGAGTTGTTAATGCTAGCAAGTCATATTTAAGTCTTAAACCAAAATTATCTGATATTTTTATTGTTTCTTAGAATGTTTGTCTATTCTATAAAGATGCATTTTCCTTCTTCCCTCCCCTTCCTGGCTACTTCTTCTCTTGTAAGCTTGCATACCACATTCCTATATTTATGTTGCATTTTCCATAAATAAGTAAAAAAATTACCATTTTATTATCTTTACTGTTTCTAACACTATATAACCTGAAATAAACTTTTTCTAATTAAAATTCAAATATTTATAATGTTAAAGGTTATTTGGATTATGCGGAGAAACTTGCAACAGTAGCAGCAGAAATATCATACCTTTCAGGAAACAATGCAGCCTCCGATGCCATTTGTGAAAGAATAGAGCAAGCTCTCAGGTGATACAATAATAATGTCTCTAAAGAAAAAAAAACTTTAATTAAGCATATATACTTTGTTTAATCTAAGTTGATATATGTTTTATATTACTTATTTTAATCATATTTAAAAAATAATCATAACAAAATTATAAACACCAATATTTCCATTCACAAAAATAATAACTGTCCAACTTCAAACCGTAATGGGGTTAAAATATGGATTTCAACAGCAAAAAATCTTGTACAGAAAAATGATTCAAATTCAATGGAAAAGAGAAATTATAACAAACCTTTTTATTCAATTTTACCTTTAGAAGACTGTTATGGTACAAACACAGACTTGCTTGTATTTTTAATTTAATCACACTCATGCCAAAATAAATCCATAGACAATAATGTTGTCAGCCAGTGATGTATTCAGACATTAAATATAATTTCTCATTTCCATTGAATTCAATGATAGTCATTACATTCCCTAAAAAACAAGTTTTTATACATGTATTATTTTAGTAGAAGAAACCTGTTGTAATAAGTTTTCACAAATTATTATTTTTTATACACACTAACTTATCCACATTAGAGCTTATAGTTACAAATAAAAAACAAAAATACCTTTTGATTCGAGTGTATATTAATAGACATTTCAATAACATGCAAAATTATTAAAATTATACTTTTAACCATTTTTTTGTTTTAAAAAAAATTAACATTGTTTGAAATAAAAATTGTCATTCAAATAAATTATGTTTTATAAAATACTTTTTTGTAGGAAACATTAAAATTCAATTTTTAAGAGTTAAAATAACTAATTTTACATTTACGTACCACATATGTTTATTATTTCTAATTAACCAATTTTTAATCACTTATAAAATCAAATCAATAAGTGCATGCTTCGCATAAAATTCGCCAACAGATGTTTTGACAAGAATTTACATACATATTAAAAATAATTGTTTAGTCGAAATCAATTGAAATGAGAAATTTTACTTCTTTCTGCCAATGTCATTTATTGTTTATGGATTCAGTTTGAAATGTCTCAGTATTTAGATTCATTGAAACACATTTATTTTAAATAAGTCTTAAAATTGTTTACATAGTTTGGTTATAATTTCTCATTTCAATTGAGTTCATACACTTCTATTACTATCAAGTCTAGTTAATAAGCATTTAAAAAGATCTATATACATTATGTAAATAAGCTAATTTCTCCACAGGTCTTGCAACATTCAAAAGCAATTGAACCAAGGGCTTCAAGAAGAGAGCTTAGAATTACAACAGAAGGCGATCATCAGTTCACCACAACTTGAAGATAAACTGGTAAATGATGCTACAGACAAGAAGCAACAGACAACAGATGATGCCATAGACAAAGTAAAATTGACAATAGATGATGCCTTAGATAAAGTGAAATTGGCCACAGATAATGCAATAGACGAAGAGAAAGTGACCACAGATAATACCAAAGACAATAACTCCGATATTAAATCATGAAAGTGTTTTCTATTTTAACACGTTCAATGCCAATGACTCCTATTGTTAGTTCACTTTAACATGTAATAATTGTAGTGGCATACTACTCTTTTTACATAATAAAGTGGACTTGTGTGTCGGTGGCACTTAATGTGTGAATGCTGAATTAATTGGAGAAAGTTTAGTATCTACTTGCATTGGTAATTTAATTTTTACATATCTACGAGTACATTGTATCTAGAAAACAAAATCATTTACTTATTTTCGTAATTTGTCTGACATTTATTTTTTAATGTTACTTGCTAAGACCACTATCACTATTTGAAAATGTTAATTCTGAAAAGAGTTTTCATATTGTTTGCATGCATAAATTTATCTGTATATATATACATTCAAGTTAAAGTAAAATCTAGTATCTGAAACAATAATTTACTATTTTAAATTTTCATTATTGCATAGGATGAATAAAATATATTAAAGATCGTATGATTTTCTTATAAACCAATTTAACTATTAAATTAAAAAAAAATGGATTACAAAAAAAGTATGTCTAAGAAAGTGATTTAAAATTTTAGATACAATGTCCCAAACTATCAATATGTTAAAATAGATACATAGAGTACACGAAATAAACATAATACGTTATGTGCGACAATTACTTCCATAACAATTAAACGGTACATACAATAGTCTTATATACTATCTTACCAAATATTTTGAACATAGACAAAATCAGACATTTAATCGAAAATTTAAATACATACTAGAACATCAATGTCAAAAAGTTAAAATTCTAAAATCAACCAACCACTTTTCACCGTTGGAGGTTTTCTTACCAACCTTTTTTACAGTTTACCTATTCGGTATTGAAAATGATGAATGTACTTGTTAAATTTAATAACTATGTAATTTAAGGAGATGAAAAACTGTACATAATAAAAATATATTTACATTATCAATGTATTAAGGGATATGGAACTAAAATGGGATAGAAATGTATGTAAGGATTGTGTTTAAAATAAAACTATGAATTCGGGTGGTTCCAACAAAAACGATATCAGTAATAACCATGTTTTAAAGCTAAGCTTTATTGTGGGGTTTTATCAAATTTGTTTTCACAGGGTATTTATAGATGACTTACTTTAAAAAAAATTACTTCTGTAATTAAAACGAAAATAAATAACAATTTGTAAAAAAAGAAAGGTTTTTATATTCAATTGTCATCTATGTTAAGATCAGTAGAATATAAATGATTAATATTCTGATCTTTAATTAAAAGATCGGTGAAATATTAAAAAGTTAATAACTTAAGTAATAATATATTTATAGATATTGCTAGTGAACTAAGAGTAAGAAACATATTCATATATTTATTTGGATTATAATTCAATTTAATCTTATATGTTGTGCTTATTTTAATTTCTGTTATCTTGCAAATCAAGTGAATTAGTCGTTCCAGTAGGCCATTTTAACCATTTTGGCCAAAAGCCATTATATTTGTCTTAATATTTACCACATTTGGTGACTCTGTGGGCATGTCCTATGATCCTAGGGGTGACGTCAGCATCTTGAAAAAGTAAATGATTATTTATTAACAAAATATATCTTTTATCTTATCAATTGAAACAATTTTATTGTATTGCCAAATTATTTTTGTGGATGTATGTTATTTATGACCGCTTGCAGTTAAAATGTTTAAATTTAGTCTATTGTTTTTAATTACTTCTGAATAACTTTCATTAGCCAAAGTACTTTGTGGTCCCTTTCCACATGAAGGTTTTTTCAAATTATTTACCACATAAGTTTCATATCGTGGACATAGCCTAAAGAGTGTCGTAAGTGTAGGGCTTTTACTTAATTTAAAAATATGCTGTGATTGCTGACATCTTACGCCACGAAGTAGTGTGTGTTTATGCTTGATTATTATTACTATTTCTTAAATTAAAAATATTAGTAGATTTTTTTTAAAGCACTAATATTTCCTTTAACTATTCCAACTAGGCTTGTGCTAGGATATGATTCTCAATAGTCGAATAGCAGGATTCGAACGCTCGACCGCAAGATCGGTACCCCAAACCATTAGGCCATTGGCGCTTATTATATTAGTATATATTTGATGATATGTCATGTAGAATATACAATACCAGTGAGGCGGTGCCGTGTGCGTTCAGAAGGCGGCGTCCTTGTTGAGGTGCGTCTCGATGTCGACGCGGCAGATGGGGCAGTGCTTGTTGGTGCTCAGCCACTGGTCCACGCACTCCATGTGGAACAGGTGCATGCACGGCAGACGTCTGGTGACAAAGTATAATATCATTTATACCTGGTTTGCACTTGGACAGTACAGTTGGACCGTAGCTCTCAATAACTGGACTGGAATGCAACGAACATTGTGCGAACACTACCTGGCGTCAATGAGTCTATACAATCGGTGTAAAGCTTATGCGACTGTCCAACTATAACTGTACTGGCCAAGTATAAACGTATCATTAATTAGGGGATTAGACAGGGACAGCAATATATTTATTTGGATTTTGTCTTTTATTTTATTTCATCTTCAAAATTAATCTATAATACACTAATGGCAGTATACTGTAACGAGATTTTAGTGTAGCGTCTTAAATAAGGCCACGTTCAAACTAAAAACTACCTTAAAATTTTGATGTCTAGATTATAAGGTTTCAAAACGAAGTGTTCGATTACAAGTATTTGGCAGTAGTTTGTTATTTAGTGAGAATGAAAATTGTGTAAGTCAAGTTACTAAAGAGAGACAAACATTCGATTGGGTTGTTGGGTAATAGCAAGGTAAGGTAGCAGGTACCTGCAGTCGGAGTCGACTTCGAAGAGGGAGAGGCAGATGGTGCACTTCTCGTCCTGGTGGTGCGGCGCGGGGCGCGCGTAGGCGTGGCGGTAGGTGTTGCGCTCGATGACTGCGCGCGAGGCGCCGCGCGAGGAGCGCCGCGCCTCCGCCGACGACGCCGCGCGCACCATCGCCGCCATGTGCGCCGCCAGCGACAGCGACGGACCCTTACACACACAAACACACATACAAACATATACACACAAGATATTACAAAAATATACAGGAAACATAATGTGACTAAAATAGGCATTAAGTTTGTTCTTGTAAGAAGTCTAGCTCGAAATAAAGTTTATTATTATTTCTTCATATATCTTTATTTTTGTTTTATGTATAACATATTTTACATGATTTGCATGAAAAAAACAGATTTGAAAATATGAAATTTTGAATTTCTGTATGTATTTGACTCAAGTAAAAACTACTGGGCTGATTAAAAAGTTATTTTATAATTAGAAAGGTAACAAAAATAAAGAATTATAGCCATCTTTCTTTATTTTTTTTATTTTCCGCTGACGAAGTCGCGACAAACAGCTAATAAGAAATATGGATGTAATATAGAGGAAAGGTTTATATTTTTGAAAATAAATAACTCAAAACTTCTGAAACGATTTCAAAAATTCTTGCACCTTTAAAAAGCTACGTTATCAACGAGTAACATAGGCTATATTTTTCTTACTTTACGCAGGCGAAGTCGTGGACAACAGCTAGTACATAATAAAAGCATATTTCACTTCTGTCCAAAATAGATGTATTTAAGACTTACCATGACGGATGGTTGTATAGATATATGCAGATGCGGCGAGGGGTTCACCGGCACGTGGTGGTGATGCATGTGGTGATGAACATTCTGACCATCGCTGCAACAATCATTTTATTCAATATTCTGATAATTTAAATAAACGATTTTATTATGTTAAATGTAAAAAAACTTACAGCATTACAGGCATCTGACCATTGTCATTCTGCTCAAAGTGATCTGGGAACTATAAAAAATAATATAATATTAAAATACCGCAATACAGATTAAATAAGCAATAAATTACTTGGCGGCGAGACTTTGGGGAGTATGGATACTTAAATCTTCCAATGGAATGAGTTTTTTATACTAAATCTACAGTAATAATCTATGGTTCCTCCCTTATACAAAAAAAACATCTCCCTTAGTGACTAATTAGTAACTCTTAGTGACCAATTTCTGACTCTTAGTGACTGTTAGTGACCAACTAGGGACTATTAGTGACTCTTAGTGACCAATTAGTGACTATTAGTGACCAATTAATGACTCTTAGTGACCAACTAGTGATTCTTAGTGACCAATTAATGACTTAATGACCAATTAGTGGTTATTAGTAATAAATTAATGACATAGTGAGCAATTAGTGAGTGGTGAGTGGTGAGTGGTGAGCAGCAGTGTGAGATGTAACTCACGGAGAGGTATGCGGTGGAGCGCGGCGTGGGCGTGTACGCGGGCGGGTAGGGCGGCGGCACGTTGAGGCTGCCCGCCAGGTCGCCTATCATACTGCGCCTCTGTACCTCCTGTACAAAAAATACCACTGGAAACCTAGTATTTATAAAACAAAAACAAATACAAATTGAGTATGCATCCTCATACTAGGGTCTAATGCAGAAAAACACTAATAAAATTTCACCTCAGTCTAAGTAACAGAAGGTCGGAATAAAAAAAAAGTAATTTATACTAACTATAACATTACATATAAATTTTTATACTAACAAGTAACATTATACTAATATTATAAAAGCGAAAGTTTACATGGATGGATGTTTGTTACAGTTTGTAGCCTAAACTGGTGAACAGTTATCGCAGAAATTTGGCATAGATGTCCAGGATAGTCTGGAAAAACAAGTAGGCTCATGTTTTTCTTAATACCACGCGGACGTTGTCGCGGGCAAAAGCTAGTTACATATAAATATAAACAAATAACAAGATTATATACCAGCATGTGGTGTTGTCGGTGCCAGAGCCGCTCGTGCATTATGTACGGCGGCGCTATCGGCATTGAGTTACGACGTCTTTCACCAACTGCGTAAACAATTGTTATCATTTAAACATATTTATATACATAACATAAACATCACTTGTTATTTAAAGCTGTAGATAAAACAAGAGCAAAAACATTTTGATATTACGATTGGATGTAAAGCAGAAAGTATTAAGCATGGCATGGCACATGTATTAGTATTAACATTTATACATAATAGTCTGTCTGTCTTGCTTCTCCTGTCCCACTGGGTTGCCTGGAAGAGATCGCTTCCAGCGATAAGGCCGCTTTTGCGCAAGTCTAATGTTACTTAATTTTAGCTTTCTTGTATTATATGTGCAAAAGTGTTAAATAAATAAATAAATAAATAAATAAGTATGTAGGCTTACTCTATGCCCATGGCGAACACCGAGCACTGGTAGGGCGGCCATTTTGTGAATCGAGTCAGTTCCATTTGAGTCGCGACGGAATGCGCGCGCGACCATGTGTTCGGTGGACGTCAATTCAATATCTTAATCGAAACATATCGTTATGATCTATAATTATTTAGTGGAAATATGAATTGTGATATTGAGGATTACGACTACACCAATTATCAAGATAACTATTTTGTCGAAATACCTAAGTACCACGCCTACAAGAAAATGTCATAAATCACCCAATATTACCTGATGTTAGTCGAAAGACTTCAAGTAAATAAATAATAGCGTAAGGAGAGTATGAATTTTAATTGATGTTAAAGATGGATGTTTGGGGAAATACGAATGGATAGGATGCGAGATGAATTTTTTTTTAAATGAGTATATTACAGGCAGTTTGGAGAGTAGAGGAGTAGCATGGTATGAGCATGTTATGAATCGCATGTTATAAGGAGAACGTTAGTTATGAGTGTGGAAGGGTATACCGGTAGAGGTAGACTTAGAAAAAGATGAATGGATTGCGTGAAAGAAGACATGATCAAAAAGGGACTGATATGGCGTATGATAGAGTTATTGGAGGACAAAAACCTGTTGCTCCGACCCTACAGGAGTAGGACAAGGAGGATGGTGATGTTGAGAAATGTTATTAAGAAAGTATTGTATACTTACGATGCGCCATGGGCGGCGTGGCGTGCGTGCTGGGCACGGTGGGCGCACAACAGCACGTCGGGCACGGCACCATGCACGTGCCCACGCGCACCCTGCACAGTGCACACAACACTATTGGTTATCATAAAAAGATAAACTAATACTATAACCTAATGTGTTTCAATGTAACAACTAAATATAGAAAATTGCAATATATAATTCTTATTATTCCACGAGGATGGTTTCGTGGGCGGAATCTAGTTTTTTATATTTCTAACATAATCATGAGAAAGTAGGCATCACGACGTCTAAGCAGGCGAGAAAGTTTTCATGATGAGATACACGTATCTGGAAGTCATGAGAACGGCACAAGAGATTGAGGACTAAAAAGTGCTTTATAAACAAGAAAAAATACATTAAAATATGTATATATGTAATGTGTGTATGTCGTGGAAATCTGCGGTGTTCCATTTACAGACATATTGCCGTGGGTCTGGGTTCTATTGAATATCATTCATTCAATTTAGAACAAAACATTAAAGCTACTAGGTTTTAGGATGGGACACCGCCAGATTTCCCGACTGTAGAAGAACATACCTTGTACGAACGAATGAGTGGTGCGGAACATGTGAATTAGGATGGTAGATTTGTGGCTCAGTGGTCCTCTGGGCTTCGCTAATCCTTGAGGCGAATGGCGCGCGGCCGGTAGCGCGGAAGTTGACTCGCGCTGCCTGCGGCTGGGGTGGCTCACAGGACTGTGCTTGGGGGTCCGCTTGTGGCTCAACTTGAGGCGGAACTTGTGGCGTAGCTTGAGGCGTAGCTTGAGGCGCAGCTTGAGGTGCAGCTTGTGGTGCAGCTTGAGGCGCAGCTTGGGGCGCAGCCTGAGGCGGCTGAGGCTCCAACGTCGGCGATGCACGCACTGGAGACTCCGGTGGGGCACTCGCGCTTGGAGAACTCGTGAGATCAATTACCTCTGGCTAGAAGTTACATTTACAATTTAGTATGAATTTACAATATTAATTTGTATGTTAAAAGCAAAATTTCAATGAAAATTTCAAAACCATTCATAATAATATGGGATGAAATTGATAAAGATGAACTTACTTGATTATTTTCTTCATTCAACACCTGAACATCATCATCAGAGCTGTCGGTGAACCAATCTAGTTGCAAGTCAGGAGCTGATAAACCTGGATTATTTGGTCTTCGGGCAGCTGCATTGTCATACTGTGGTCTCTGAAATTTAAAAAGTAGCCTATAACATTCCTGCATACTTTAATAACCTTTCCATTTAAATTAGCCCAGCTGTTTCAAAGATTAGCAAAACAAAACTTTACTGCAGTGTGGTTTAATACTAACCTGGTTCTGATTGATATTTGCATTATCATTATCATTGCCTCTTCGTGCACTTGGTCCAGGTTGAGGAGATATTCCTTTAACTTTCCTGTCTCCACCCGCATCCACTATGCAGCATCTCCTAGTACTGTTGTCATTTGCATTTGCTTCAATTTTCACAATCACATTCCTGTTCTCATCCATATTTCTTAATTGATTGGAGCAGCCTGGCTCTATTTTGATCACTTGTTGATTTCCTGCCTCCATTTTGATATTGTTAACAGGTATTGGTTGATTTTCTTCTTGACGTGCCACTTGCGCTGCACCGGGTTCTCGTTTTACTGCAGCGGCCTGATTTGCTTGACCGGGTTCTTCTTTAATATTCGCGGAATTCAAGTTCCCTGAACTTGGCAAATTACAAGTACATTTTAAGACCCGATGGTGGTGATGATGATGGTGATGGTGGTAATAATGGTGATGAGATCTATTCGGTGTTGCATTGTTTTGATTATTCCTTGTACAGTCATTCCCACAATTTCGTTCTCTGCAATTCTGATTACCAGGATGACGGATAACTGGCGACACCACTGCAGCAGACACACTCGGTACATTCTGTCTAAAATCATTGCGTTTAAACGTTGCTCTGATATGAATAGTATTGACATTATTTCCAGTCCCAATGGTAATCTCATTTGGCCTTCGTACTCCCACGGCATCTCCTCGTGCTTGCGCTGAAGCTTCTGATTGCTCTAATGGCTCCCTTTTGATTTCCACTCTAGATATAACATTTGCATTAATCTCATTTGCACCTGTGGAGACGTCCATCTTTATATTAGAGCCTGAATTACCAGCACCATTATCGCACTGCCTCTTCCTAGGGCCTGGAACATCATCTTCATCTTCTGAGCTAACTTCAATTAAGTTTGTATTGACTGCACTCCCCTTAGACAGTCTTCTCCGAGGAGAGATATTTAACTTACGACTCGGTCTCTCTAAGTTACTTGGAGGATTCCTGTCCCCATAATTGTTATCTGGTGAAGACATTTGATTGTAAATATTGTTTGCTGATATATTATCATACCCTCTGTTCATATTGTCCTGCAATTGCGGGGGAGTAGATTGTACTGTGTAGTTAATCGGCTGGTTTGAATAGCCACTAGCCTCATTTTGGGGTAGTCTATTACTGCCATATGAGTTTGCAACATACTCTCGGGGTTCCCTTTGTTCTGAATTTTGACCGTAATGTCTATAGTGAGGGAAATAGAAATCTTGAGTTGGAGGAAATGCTTTTGGTTGGTAACGTATATTTACATCAGGAAATCTTTGCCCATTGGCATTGTTACTATCTGCATTGTTATTTCTTAGTACATAATCCAATGAACTTGAGCTATCAGGCAGTGGCTGGTACTCTTCAGGTACAGGGGTGTGGGCTGACCCAAGGTGTGACAGTGGTATATTTACAACATATGACTGAGCTTGTGAAGTGGAATTAACAAAGTCAGATGAAACAGCATTTTTAGATGTCGACTCGTTTCTGGGCAATGAATACTGTTCTGGGGCAGATGGAAGCACTTCAACATCATCATCGCTCTCTGCGAAAAGCGGCTCACAATCCATTTCCTCTGAAAAAGAGATGTAATACATAAATAATTAAGAATACAATCCCTTTATAAGAATGATTTCTATAAAACGTACCATTTCTTGTCTGGTTATCTGAGGAAGACGTAAAAACGGTGTCCAGAATAGCCGCCAGTGATGATGGTCCGGGCATGTCCCACGAAGGTGGAGATCGATTACCTTCGAACCCGTTTTCAGTCATTTTAACATTAGTTTTTATTAAACATATTGTAAGTTATTATTTTCGCCATCATTTGACTAACTCTTGTCAACAACACAATCCTAACATACAGATCTAAGGACTATGTCCATCATTTAAATCATTTGAGACGCGAATATCCTTGGATATTTTAATCAATTTTAAACTCAGATTAATTGGTTTTTCACTTCACAAATAATAAAGTAAATAAATTTATGAAATAAATAGTGCGACATCACGAACAAAAATTTATTATTCCGTAGACAATAAGACCACAGACCACACAGATTGTTAATACAAAGAATTTTACTTTCAAATTAAATTACTTTTTCATTAGGTAATTTATTTAGAGTTTACGACGTGAGAGAATAAAGATAATCACTTATATAGCAAATAGGACAATTTAATGTTTTCAAATACTCTTATTTTTGTAGCCATGGCAACCGCTTTTGTAATTTGTGATGATAAATATGACATTTCCTTATCTTTTGACTTCTGTCAGCAGTCTAATCTGAAATTCAACACGTATGCGACGTGCTCAGTGGTTTTCCAACTCTAACTCGAGTGCTAAAATGCCAGCATAACAAAAAGGACGTTTGTAACCGAAGCATTTAATTGCCTAATAATTTTCATGCAATGCTGTACTTTTTTTATAAAACACATTAGGTATGTATAATTGATAAATTTGTTACTCTGATAGGATAATAATAAAATCATTACTTTTTGTTACGTATCATTCTAATAGATAACGCTTAATTTTAGGGAAATTAGAACGATGACATCGTCTTTGTTACCATTTTTTATGGAGGGTGAGGTGGTGAAAGGTTTCGGGAGAGGCTCTAAAGACTTGGGTTGTCCAACAGGTATGTCTTATACATTATCAGCACCGATTGAATAAGCTTATTAGGTTTTTTACCATAGTATTACCATAGTAGCAATAAATACATGACAACTTAGCCAATGAGTTAGTTGCTAAACTAGTTTGCATTATTTTAAACTTCATGAATATGCATATTATATTAGTGTTGCATATATTTTATTATTAAATTATGTTAAATCTTAAACCATATACTTTTGAACTTAAATTAACAAACCAAGATTATAATTAATATTTTAAAACTAAGATCCAACACTTGAAAAGGCTCAACAATTAAAACAATCTGTTTTTGAGTTAGATTTAAAAAGTATAAAACCTAATAAGATTTTAATCTTGTATGAGACTTATAAACATTATTTCAATGCAAGATATAGCAAAAGTACTAAATGTAAATAGATGTCAGTAAATGAACATTATTGATATTACATTAAATGTAATCTCACAAAGACAAAAACTAACAATGTTAGATTGTTGACTCTTGAAATTGGGTCTGTTAACAATGGCTTACACAATATCAAACAACATTGAATATCTTATTTAGATAAACAATGTTACTATCTTGAATGATAAATCACCTTGGTTAGGAAATATTAGAATCGTTGAATTACTTTTCTATAATTAGCAGTTGAAGTAATAGACAAGTGTCTCTTAGTTGACACAATTGTTATTATGAATTTACTTTTACAGCAAATTATTCACTAGAAGTGGTACAATCTATACCCAAAGATATGGCTCCCGGAGTTTATTATGGTTGGGCACAAGTAGACTCTAATATGGTATACAAAATGGTGGCAAATATTGGTTGGTGTCCGTTTTATGAAAACAAGGAAATGTCTGTTGTAAGTTGTTCAAACTTGTATAATTTAGACATATTTGCAGAGATAATTCTGATTCAAGTGTATGAGTGCTTTGTACAAATAGATATCAAGGCTTCCTGTTAGCTTAGTAAACACTATTACAGTAATCTTTCAAGTATCTAAGTATGAATGTGAAACAACACAGAAACATATAGTGGAATTCAGTTCAAATATGAATTTATAACAAATTTAAAGATTCTAAACCTTTAAAGATAAGAATCTTTTTATGGTTAAACAGATTTATATCAGATATATTTTGTATCATCAATTTAAACAATGAAAAGTTCTAAAATAATTCCATAGACAACTAATTTAATGAAAAAAGTATAATTCTTTATTCCTATTGAATTTGACTATAAGAAAAGATAGAAAGATTATTCGGTATCATTTTATATAGCTTTCAGAATATTTATTTTTGCCATTAAATAATTAATTGACTTTACAGTTCAGATTTTCAAAATTATCTCCAATGTAATAGAATGCATTCATTGTTGATGATACACAAGTTGGGACAATGTTTCTCTGTATGTACTTGCATATCACAATTGAGTCAATTGATTCAGGTCAATGGATCGTAATCATTAGTAATTTATATATCATGTACAGAACACATCACCCTTGGATTAATTCAATGGAGTAGGCAGAGAAGTCATTTTTCTACTATTATTGTAACATACTGTCACCTAAGTTTACATGTATAATTATAATATGTATAATAATACATTGTTCTGCTAAATACATAAACATGACACATATGCTTTAATATCACATAAGTACAAGATAAGTACTGAAAAAGACAAGCTGATAAGCTTTTTTTATATCGTAAGGTGGCAAACGTTGCAAACGGTCACCTGAATCTGCCAAAATGGAGGTGACCGCTGCCCATAGACATTCACAATAGCAGATGCATTGCCTACCCTTAACAGAGGAGGAAACATGAGGATATTTCTCCTTTATGTGTTTCCTCCAGTGTTGAGTCCAATTTCCCTTCTCATCCTTTTCTTATAAGAAAAAGGGCGGGAAGGACAAGAGACTAAGTTTGGGACTAAGGGTGAGTTGCACCATATCGCCGGTTACCGTTAAAGTTAAAATTATTTGTAACGGTAATAATTGGAATAACCTTAAAATTTACTAAGGGTGAGTTACATTAACTAACTATAAACCTTAACCAGCACATTCACGATGGTTACGTCTACGGATGTTCATGATATTCGCTACACCAGTTTTGCGCTGGTCAAAATGACGTCATATATGACACTAATCATAACCGCCCGATTTTGGGCGGTTATAATTAGCGTTACGTTACGGTTAGTGTCAGTTCGGTAGTGTCAACTGTCACAAGCTCTTATCTTCAAAAGTACAAATAATGGAAAAAGTAATGGAAAAAGAAAATCTCTACTATTATCCTATACGTAATCCAGAAGAATAAAGTCTTGCGTGCTCGGGAATAATGGATTTCCAAGATGGAACTCGAAATTTGGCCAATCATTCAGTTTGGACAAATTTCGAGTGTCTAAGGCCATAGCAACAGCGCTTGTCCCTTTTCTCTTATTTAAAAAAAATGTCCTCCATAAAAGGACAATTTATAATATGCATTGAGAGGACAATTTATAATATGGAAAATAAATAAGATGCATTTATATTTGTATAATTTTATTGTTTCATTTTTGCTACATATTTGAGTAGTAAAGTAAATACAGTTTCAATAATGGCCCAAACTAGTTTATTTTCACAAGAGTTTGCCATTTTCTCCATCTCCGTGGGCAAAAAGTTTATGTCACTATAAAATACCATGCGTATGATACATAAATATATACGGCGAAACATGAATTTCCAAACATTTTAATTTACGTAAATGTCATTCTTGACACCAACTTGACACTTTAGTGACATTCAGGTTTAAATGTTTCCATTGTAAAAACGAAAAACACATAAAACCTCTGTGAGAATATGTTTTTGCACTTGTAACCCTATTAACTATAACTATAACTTTTACGATAACCGGCGATTTGATGCAACTCACCCTAAATCTGCAAAAGTTATTGTATATAATGATTATGAATCAGAATAAAACTAGGAGGTTAATTAAGTACAAGATTTGTTATTCTTAAAGTGTTTTTAAAATCACTTTTAATTCTTTTTCAGGAAACACATGTGATGCATAAATTCGACAACGACTTTTATGGATCTAATCTAAAAATATGTGTAATTGGATACTTAAGACCAGAGAAGAAGTTTGATTCTTTGAACGATTTAATTGAAGCTATCCGGCAAGATATAAAAAATGCTGACGCCAAACTAGATGAAGATGAATCGAAAATATTGAAGGAACATAAATTTTTTAATAATGCAAATAATATCACTGTATAGTGTAATTGTTAATAGTTAAATTTTATACATTTTAATATTTCCGAATTGTTATGTTTGACTATGTTATAATATTATGTTATTGTAATGAGAACTGTCTGTTCACCCACCCTTGTACTTATGGTCACAAATTTTTGTTTTTAATTAGAATTTAAGAATTTATAAATGCAATCTTGTGATAACTTTTGACAAATGAATTCCAATGTAAATAATAAATGTTTTTACTAAAGTTTTTTAATGTTTACTTATTTTCCCTGATTTGAAAAAAAAATATGTTAATAAAATTATTTTTTAATATACTGTCATTTACAACCATACTAAACAATTATCAAGGGTTATGACACAGCAAGGCTAAAATTATTTGAACTTATAATTTCAATCTATACTATTATAAAGAGGAAAAATTTAAATTTTTGCTAGTATTGAAATAACTCAAAAAATACTGGGCTGATTCAAAAATTCTTTCAATATTAAATAGGCCACTAGTGTTATATAAAATGTACAAACTTTATTTGATTACTAAACAATAGATTATAAATGTAAGTGGAATATAGAGAAAAACGCACGAATCCTTTCGAAAAAGCCTTTATTCACGCTTTAATGGATCAATTTTAATGAATTAGTAAAATATAATTCGTTCACAGAACTGGAAATAAAATGCAAATCTTAAATTAGGGCTTCTCTCAAGGATTACTTAATGTTGTTTTCTTCTAAACGAACAACCTGTAACAAATATAAAAAAAAAATTTTAACATATACCTCGTAATACCAAATATTTAAAAAAAAATTATCTACCCTTTGTACAGAAAGATTGACAACAGCACATTGGTGTAAACACTTTACCATATTTTATTAATTGCATGTTTATATGAACTGCATTTCTTTATTCCATAAATCAATTACGAAGCGAGTAGTGAACTTGCTCTAAAACTACTTAGTATTGAAAATTATTTTTAAATCTGTAATACACAATTTTCCTACAAAAAGTCACCAGTATTATCAGTATTTATTTTATTATTACAACTCATGAAATAAAAAAAAAACAATTAACAGAAAACTATATAAAAGTGGACAACACAAAAAAGTCTACATCAAATCATCATCATCATCATCATCATCACCAGCTCACTATATGTCCCCACCGAGGGGCTCGGAGCCAACCCTAATGAGGGGTGACTAGGCCATAGTCAACCACGCTGGCCAAGTGCGGGTTGGTTGACTTCACACATATCTTTGAATTTCTTCACCGATATGTGCAGGTTGCATCACGATGTTTACCTTCACCGTAAGAACGTCGGGTAAATTATGTACATATGAAAATTCGAAAAATCAAACATCACATTGGTACATGGCGGGATTCGAACCTAAGACCTGTAGATTACAAGTCAAGTGTTCAAGCCACTGAGCCACCGACGCTCAATCATATATCTACATCAAATATCTATAGAAAATAAGATATAGTATACATTAAAGTTGAATCAATATTTAAAAATATCCCATCACAATGTAATGAAATACTAAAATGGCTTTTCTTTGATTAATTTTGTTGTCCTAAGAATGCCATCCTAGTAGTATTCATGTTGCACAACATGATGCATTTACTTAAGTTAATATCCCATGTTGTGCAACAGATTCTTCCAATAGACAGTTTTAATTGTTGCACCATATGTTGATATGCAAATTATTGCATCAAACAGACAGAAACTTCTAAAATATTACAGAAATCTGCTTATTGTCAAAAACCACTATTTTGCTATTTGCTTCTTAATGAGGTCAAAAGTTTAGGGTACCTAGAAAACTTTTATATGATGCAAAGGTAAATCTTATGTGTTACTGAACTAGAATTTTTTATGTTAAATGTTATATTAGGACATCAATTTATTTGTTTAATGATAACAGATAAGATAGATTTCATTGAATCAGCCTTTTATAGAATTTGTATATGATAAACAATCAACAAGTGAAAAATCTTTGCAATTGTATCTGTTTATGAATTTATTTACACATTCAAGTCACTACAACATTGGTTTAGATTGCCGAATTTTTTGTTACACAAAGTACCTTCTCATTTTCTGTCTTACTAATAAAGCTGTAATCCTTGAAGAGTAATCAAGCACAAAAGCTTAGCGACTAATAAACTTATAATTTACATGTAAAGAAAAATATTTTAGAATTAAGTAAAATATGTTACCTTCGGTTAACCTAGCTCGACCACCAGTAGGCTGGCAAAGGATTGTTGAACAACCAGCGCACACCACTACCCTTTGCGCGTGACTGAAAACTGTTGTGATTTTGTAGCAGCCGGGGCATTTTACATCCATGAAATATGAGTTTGGATGCGGCACCAGCCTCTTTAGCTTATGTTTCCTCCTCTCCGACGCGGGCGACGGATGCAAAAGATCAACAGCGAGCTGAAAACGTTAATATCTAGGTTAGTTTCACAGCACTGCATAATCCGATTCGTTAAGACTCATGTCACTAATTAAACCACTAAGCACTAATGTTATTTTAAGATTTTTTTCTACATGGAGGTTAGATTATTTTGTTGAATGTATAGGGGAGATGTCAAATCCTGCCATGTGTTTATGTTAACTTATGCGCAGTTTAAGTTTCGATATATATTTCAACCAAAATAAGTTATAAAACTGATTAACAGATTGTCACAAAGAACTACTTAATTTAACATAATAAGGTATCACTGATTGATAATTTTTAATAAAACTCACCGGCATGGTTACAGCTTCGATGCAGAACCGGAAAAGGAAAGACGTAAAATGTAGCAAAGACAAGAGAACAATTCCATAAATATTGCAGATAAAACATACAACGCCTTACGTTCCATGTAAAGCAAATATTGTGAGTTGGGAGATTTCAAACTAAATAATTAGGAAGAAGAAGTAAAAACATTTGGTTTTTAGAAATTACAAGGTATCTTTTAAATGAGTTATGTCTTTCAGGAAAAAAATAGTTTTTTAATATTCGAACAGTAAAAAATAAAAACGAAAATGCACATGAAGTCAATTTGAATATGTATACAGTATTTTTATTTATTTTAGCAAAGTATACTTTTTTTCAACTTAAGGAATTTGAAAAGTGTAATTTGTAACATTGTAATAACAATTAAAGACTTTTAATTTAATTATTTTCTGAACTGCAAACACATTGTCATGTCACAATCTGTCAATCTGTGGAATCTGTCATTTTGAATTTTGTCACATTGTGAATTTGTGATTTGTTTTGTTGTTCTATCTTATTGCAAGTAGAAATCGTTCTTCTGCTTTATAAGACAATTTAACCAAATTCTATCGTCTCTCTTTAATAATGGCTGACGAAGAATATGAAGCTGAGGATGCGGGAGCGGATTACGATGATATCGCAGAAGAGGATGATAACATAGAAGAGACCGAAGAACAAGAAGAAGACGGTTTTAACACCCAGTGCGTTGCTCCAGGCCAGGCTGGTGGCGGAGTAGAAAAGTCCAAAAGAATTACTACAAGATATATGACGAAATATGAGAGAGCTAGAGTTTTAGGTACAGTATTTATTATAAACATTGAATACCACACTGTGTTAATTTGGTTACTGTTTACGATAATATCGAGAATTTTTCTTAGTAACACAATATTTGAATTTTAGTGTAGTGTGATTAATATTAATGCATTCAGTATATTAAAATTTCCAATGCAAGTTAGTCATCTGTATTTTAGGTTATAATACATGAATACTAATACATACATATTCTATAATAGTATCTCAGAAAAAAAATATTGGCACGGTCTTTATGTTTATTTACTCCATTAAGCCATATATCTTTATTTCTTATTCTCTATATAAAACATTTTACAAGATTTGATATAAAAATAAAATAAGATATATTATAAAAAAAATAGAGCACCACCGGCTGCAGAATCCAATGACTCAAGCAAGCAGTGGTCAGGGCTGCAGAGACAGGAACCTCCTCACTATGTGTGTGGTTTCTAAAATAACCGCCTTTTGATTTGGGCCCTTAATCCAACTGTCTAGCGAGAGCTTCTTGTTTACTCCATTAACATTATTAATATATTCATTAGTTATTTGTAAGAAAAGGCAAAGTAAAGAATTTTTTCTCCAAGTGGAACACTGCAATAGCCCTTATTATACAAGTATTTAGTCACTAACCTATGGTAATGTTAATAATTTCAGGTACTCGGGCTCTACAGATAGCGATGTGTGCTCCAGTAATGGTGGAACTGGAAGGTGAAACAGATCCCTTACAAATAGCTATGAAAGAATTGAAGCAAAGAAAGATACCTATCATCATTAGAAGATATTTACCTGATCATTCTTATGAAGATTGGAGTATAGATGAACTCATCATCATAGACCATTAAGGATAAATACAAATAAGTATAAAAATACTACAAGTGAAAAAAATCTATAAAAGAAATAAATGAGTTTTGGAGAATGTGTTTATGGTAAATATTTTTCTTTTTGTAGGAGATGGACAGGCTCTTTTGATTTAAACCAACATTATAATAAAATGTGGATTTTTAAACTTTATTTTTGTTATAAATTTCCTCTTTTCTGGTGATATAATAAATAAATTTGAGTATTGTGCCATCTCTTAAAATAAAAAAAGTTTTGCAATAGTAAGAATTTCTGAAAGCAAATAAATTTATCAATATTTACTCCAAAGCTTATGAGTTCTTCAAATCACTTCAAAATAACTGTTATTGTAAAATTAAATATTTTTAAGTCTCCTAATAAATAAGTTTTTATATAAATACTTTTTCAATTATTAATAAACTTTTGAAATAAACATATTTTTATAACTAGATATAGGAATTAATGTGAATGATCCCTTAAATAGAGAATTAACCCTCTCATTTAAAAATTGAAAAAATAAGATATCTTTTAGCTATATAGGCAAATAGGTAACCATAACATAAGAGGAAAGGGATGAAGAGGATTATTTCCCCTCTCTTAGAGAGTTCAATCCAAATTTACTGGAAATTAAAAAAAAAACGCGCTGTGATAATGGTACAAAAACTATCGGCCAATAGCAGCATAGACCGAGGTTGCCATGGTTACTTAAATTCTCGACCAATAGCAAAGCCCCTCATTGTTATTTGAATTTTAACATGTGCAATTGAAAGTTTTACGCAATGTAAAGAAAAAAATAAAATGTTGATAATTTCATGCGGATGAATCCGCACGGGAATATCTAGTTTCAAATAAAGATACGTGTTGTAATTTTAGGAATGGCAGTTTGAAATGTAGGAGCGTGTGGCATCGCGCATGCCTGACTATTGCCAAGCGATGTTGTACTGCCATTATTAATCACTACACTTGTTTGTAAATGTTCGAAAGGCGAAGGGACAATCGTGTACATTGTGCTTGTCGATGTATCATATATATCTTCTACCAAACTTTGAGATAGGCTGTTGTCAACCACTCTGGCCAAGTGCTGGTTGACTTCATACATATCTTCGAGTTTCTTTGTAGTTACGTCGTGATTTGCATCCAATGTTCAAAAATATAAAAACTCATTGGTTCATGGCGGAAATCGAACCCGGACGTGTAGATTACAAGTCCGAGTCTTAACCCCTGAGCCACTTATCCCAATCTTCGTAAACATCGATTTGTAACGGCAGCGAAACAATTCTGTCAATGGAATAGTTATAAATTAATTTTATTTGTTAGCTGGTATTTTTATGAAGTTAGAAATTGGGAAGAAAATATTTTAAATTATTTTCAGTTGTAAATGCGATAGAAAGCGGTAGTCCTCGCTGGCGTTGGCCGTAGCTTTGGGATTCCTTTTGTCGCTTTATAAATGCTTCTAGCTTGATCTTCATAGAACCGACTAAGTATGTAGTGGACCATTGAAAATTACTACAACTTTTATAGGAAAAGGTATATCCTGCATCACGTCAACTTGTCATTTCTGGTTCGGGAGAGCGAGGCGCGGGCGCAGCCGCCTCCCTCGCGCCCCGCCCCGTCCCGTGTGTTGGCAACGCGCGGCGGCCGCGGGCGCGGGAGAGTCGCCAGTACCCGCCGACCAGCGATGCTGTGCTGTCTCCGGAAATAGAGTACGTCCGATCCATGCAGTGTCGTGAACTGCCCCCGAGCCGCCGCACCATTCAAACCGCGGTTAATTATAGAGCGATACAGTTAACTTGCATTTTTCGACTACAACTCGATTTCAATAATTTCTCGTAGCGCTCTCGTTAACCCTGGTTTGAGGAGAGCGACGCGAGTTGCATTCCATCGAATGCCAGTCGCGTCGCATCGCTGGCGCGTTGCGTGTACCCGTTGCTGTGGTCCTCAGGTGGAGGGTTGAGGTGCGCGAGTGTGCGTGCAAATGACTGGTCGCCCGCTCGACCGGGCCCAACTTTGACACGATGTGGACCGAAAGGTTGAAGCTATGGCGGTTTATGTTGTGCGCGCTGTTGGCCGTATCGGCGCTCGCGCTCCTCGCCAGAGGTGAGTCCGTTACCCCGCCACCCCGCGCGCCCGCTGTCCCCGCGCTCTGCATCACACAAACGAAGACTATTTTCGGACGAACTTGCGCTGAAATTATGTAAAAAGCTCGTCCGTGCTCTATTTTTGGAGATAACCTCAAGTGTGAATTTATATTAACAAAATAAACTGCATTGCCTACATTTAAAAGCGCACCTCTAAACCGTGCGAAGGTCAAAACGTCGATTCGAGTTCGGCGCAAAGAAATCGCAGTCGCGCTCTTCTCGTTGTGCAAAGCTACGCAAATAGAAATACAGGGATTTGTCGTTATGCGTCGCCATCTTGTGAAAAACGATAGGATCATGACGACATTATAAAAATGAGAATCGAAAATAGGTCATATCATAACAGTTTTATAAATACCTTACATATTATCATGTAATAAGTTAAGTTACGCGTAATTGTACATAGTCATTATTTTGAAAACATTATTGTAAGTAATTGTAAATGTGGTATTCACTAAAATATAACGATATCTTGCAAAATTTGGTAAAAAATATGTTTATTTGACACTACACTAAAAACATTTGAGACATACATTAGGTGTTAACGACATAATGATTTTATGATGGCAGTAAATCTGAGGTGTTTAATGGCACACCAAGGTCGTTATTATAAATACCGGATGAAAATATGTGAATACTCTCCTTAACGACTTCAGCTTTTTACATTATCTTAAATTCAGAAAAACAAAATAAATTACATGACTTACTTGAATCCACAATTCAATTAATAATAGTAAGTAAGTAAAATACTCACAAAATAACAATTCATGAAAGGTAGACTGAACTGGATTTAATTTTTATGTCTACCTCCCATCCTCTATTGACCTTGGCCAATGAAAACGTCATGGAAATGACAAGACACGTGGTTGTCAATGGTAGAATATCGTAATCGTCTACTATTACTCCACTGCCCATCATTTAATCAAACTTGTTTATTGGAAGAAATTGCATTTCATGGTTCCATTTGTAAATCAGATGAGAACATAACACAAATTCGAAAATCGATAAACACATTGGTACATAATCCATATATTATTTCTAACACTTTAAGTTATTTTAAGTCTCACAGTTTAAGTTTAAATGGTTGTATTAAAGGTGAGAAAGTCGATGCTCAACGCGCAACTTGAGTTGAGCCGCCGAAAAGATTTAAACCCTTTGTATATACTTATCCTACGTTCCAATCCATGAACAAATGCCGAACAAATAATGTTATTTCAAAATAACCCTTATAAAATAATGCCATAGCTAATGCTTGCTTCCTTCGCTTTATCACACAAAGTAGCATAAAAGAATTAAAACAAAGCAGTTGCCGCAATATTCCGCACATTAGACGTTCCTCTTTTTATTTAATTTAGGCGTCTGATCGATACGATGAATGGTTATAAATCTAATTTAAAAAGTTAAAAGTAAATTAAATCGGTCTCAATGACTCATATCATTAGATTCACGTTTTAAATATTTAAATTTAGCAATGAAAACAAACATTTTAAACTGAATTCCATGTGAGTCATTCTGATTGATTTGATTTGGACACATTTGTCTAAATATTATCCGTGGCCTTCGTGCTTCCTATTCATCTAAAAAAAATAACAGTCAAAGTTTTCAAATATGACTGGGTTTCTACTGTAATGACACCATCAGCGTCGCCAGCCGATGGTGCAGGGGGACAGGTCGATGATTAAAGGGGGCGCAGGCTGATGATCAAAGAGAGCTACTAGCTAAAATCATTTTTTAATTACATAGAGAAGGCTTATCAACATGTGACCATTTTGTTTAATAAAGAACTTACAAGTCGTTTTTGAGTCTTGTATGGGTGCAATGAAGTTCTACGGAAAATCATTATGTGTTTTGACAATAATTAGAAATCGTGAACAGATGTTTTAAAGAAATAAAATAACAAGTGTATTGTGTAATTATCTATAGGAATTAGATATATTCGTACGGAGACTAGATTGAAAGGGAGGGGAGAAGGTAATAAAAAGTATATTTCTATTCCTAAGAAACTGCTTTTCTAGAAAGGGAAAACTGGCAAATTACTTGTGTTATCTATGAGTATTGTATCTTAATATTTCAAAGTACTTCATAAGCATGAATAACTAAATTACATTTGTTTTATTCATTAAAGGGGGAGCACCTACCCCTTCTTTGCTCTCTTTCTGACGACGGGCATGTAGAGAGGTTCCCTCCTAATGATCTTCAATCGATAGAGGAGGATGTGGAAGAAAGGATATATTCTTCTGTACATACCCCGTTTTTTCAAATTCATTATTACAAGAGGGTGGGAAGATAAGGACTTAGATTTTCATAAAATTACACAGATATTGTTGTTACGGACTTTAACTCTGTTTTTCTTGCACTTATTGTGTTTCTGACAAGGAACTTAATCTCTTCTCGATAAAACATTTTGTGTATAATCTGGTGATATACGATCTTTATTCGATTTAGGATTAGTACACTATACAGGTATGCGTTTGTTTTTAATTGATTTCTGTTATACTCTGTAACTATTTTATTATAGCGCTAAATCACTTTCTTCTGGAGCTATTTTAAACGCAAATAACGTAGCAAGGTCTGAGATGACGTCACTACTTTGTTTTCGTGACCTAGTCAGTTTATAAGCGTTACACTAGCGCACCGAGTTAATTATTTATTTAATTTTTATTTCACCCAGGAGGAAAATAAGAAGCTCCAGTTATCCGGATTTATCTTGTTTTATATTTTTATAACACAAATACTTTAGAGGAAATATTATTAAAATTATGAAGAAGTTCAACTGTTATTTACTTCGTATTCAGGAATTATCTATGTATGGGTTTTTGAGAGTAGTAAATTTAATGTTGTGTAATATGACTACTTCTGAGATCTATCTTATATTATTTGTTAGCATAATAAGTTTATTTTGCTGATAAACCTTGATTTTATAAGGTTTTGTGAATAAGATAGGAGATGAGGTGTGATTCATCAAATTTGAATTCGATAGGGATGTACCGTGCACATTTTATGAGTTCCGTTTATTAATAAAATTGAAATTATGTTTCTTGTATCTATTTCCAGAAGCTTATCTATGTTTCATCTGTATTTTATAGTATTTTATTATGTTTACACAATATTCATGATCAGCAGCTCACTATACGTCCCCACTGAGGGGCTCGGAGCCTACCAGTTCAGTTCAAAACTGGTCTAATTTTATTTTACATTTAAGTAAAAACATGTCTCAATAATTTCAAATATTTTTTTCCGTTCACAGCTGACGATGACGA